ACTCCAAGCCAAGGAGAGTGATGGAGCAATAGAAAAGACACTTCTCGTTTCAGGATATATCCTGGCATAATTTTCCCTTTTACTTTGACACGGTTTAATTTACTGGCCTTGTGACAACTCGTGAACTGTGATGAGTCAGTGTAGGTGAGCTTGAATAGCATTTGAAGTTTAAAGTCAAACTCAGGACTTTCTGTTCCACATTAAGCTTCCTACTGTTGAATTCATTGGGCTATCACCTAGAAATAGAGATTTTAAAACATTTGAGCTGGCGAGATTCAAATTGTCACTTGCATTTAATAGATGCTTTAGCACATCTGTAAAAGGAGAAATGTGTTTCTAAGGTTCTGTCCCCACCCCCTCACTCCTGCTCAAAAGCAGCAATTCTCCTACGCTTTTGAGAAACGGAACTGTTATCATGTGTTATTATATGTGATTGCGTATGATAGAGGTTGTAGTTAATTACAAAGTCAATGAATGAAATTAAGTAGAAATCAATGAAAAAATGAAGGAAGAATACCAGCTGCTCTCTTTTGTCCTTTCTTGGAAATCCAATCCCCTGCCTCACACCCCCTGTGGTGTTCACAATACCAAGCCTGTTGTAAACTGTGCACTTCATGAAACTGGGGGAAAGGCAGATGTAATGTGTAATATCTATGCACCCTGTTTCAGTCGCAAATCATTCAATTCACAGTTGTTAGAATCCATTTGTAAATTTTGCATGGTTAGTTTAATTCATGTCAGCTATCAATCATGCGCTGTACAAGTGACGAATGCTATTGCCATGTTTATTGACATTTAAGAACAAGAAAAATAGACATTCTAAGTGTCTTTTGCAGGTTGTGTGTTAAACTGGCTTGTGTCAAAATTACATGATCAGTGGTCACTGTTGCTATTGGCAACAATATGCAGCACTTCCAATCTAGGTAATTGAGACCAATCAATGTCATAACATTGGATGGATACAAATAGAAGCAAATTGAACATCAATATTGCAAACCCACTATCAGGACTTGAATTTCAAAACCTCGAAGTTAAACACTCAGGATTTTATTAGACAGCATTTCCCCACCTTAATATGTTCAACACATCCACTAATAACTGGTGACAGTTCCTCACTGTTGGAAACACACAATTTACAATGATCTGGAAGGCTTGGTGTATGTTTGACAAAGCTTTGAGTAGCAGAAGGTAATGATGATTCCAATTAATGGAAATTAGTATCTTGATCTGAATTGGATTCATGTAAGCTCTATCCCAGGGGCCAGCACCATGGGACACACTAATGGTTACAAAGCATTAGATTGCACCATCCACAATAGTGATCATTAAAGCACTAAATTCATCTTTTAATCATGATTAAATTGACAAATTATAACAGCTTGTGACATTGCACCTGACTACTGGATTATTTAAAGAATACAATAGGATGACTTGCTTCAAATTTGAAGGCATCTGTTCTTGGGCCAGTCTGAACTAATATTTTGTCCAGCGCACTGTATATTATTTTCTTCCAAGAGGAAAGTATAAGATTCTTACTATTGTTAGTTTTTAGTATAATTGATTAGTGGGTGTCAATTCATAATGAACACCAAACACAAAATATTGGTCAATTTGAGGTAAATTTGGCAAAATAGAGATAACTTCATAAAAATGTATTATTTGGTCCCAAACGATCTGGTCAGATGGAAGTGCCAGCACGTTACTCTTTTCACGTATTAAAAGATTTTACCTTTCTAAAGATGATGGTTGGTCCTGGGAGTGACTTGTTTTTAACAAAAATAGGTGCTGTTACTAGTATTATTTTCTCCTTGACACATTATTGGGTTTTGAATATTTTCTCTGAATATGTACTCTGTCCTCTGTAGTCATGAAATATATACAGTCAACCCTCAGCAGTGTATTAGGGAGCTGTGTAACATTTTGGTTCTTGTTTAAGTGCACATTGATTTGGGGGGGATTTACATTTTAGAAGCCTTCTAAATACAAAGTCAAACTATAACACATTGCTCAAGGTGATAAGAAAAGTAAGGTGACACTAAACAATACAACTAGCATTAATATAAATTAACATCACTATAAAACAGAAGGTCTCAAATTAAAACTAATTTAATTTGTAGCTACAATTGCCTCCCAAGGTTCCTCACTTGAAATCTGAAGGTAAAAGCTGATTTCAAGTTGATGTCTAGTGATTATTTTTCTCGTTTTGGGTGCTGAATTTCATGTTCTAGATGAGAGATGAGATTGGCCCAATGTTTCCTCTGTACAACCAATGCAACAGATGTATTCAGATGTAAAGCAAATTAGATCCATTTTAGAGTGACTGTGTGGTATACCTGAGCCCAAACCTAAGAGTCACAGACATTATAGGATAAGAACAGCCTGCTTCAGTTGATCACATGAGGGTTGTGGGTTGAAGTGTCATGTCAGGATTTTGAACTCACTGTCCAGGCTGACGTTCCAATACCGTTCTAGGAGAGTGCTGCATTGTTAGAGGTGCCATTCTTTGGATGAGACATTAAACTGAGGTCACATCTTCCTATTCAGGTTGATGTTAAAGACCATAGCACTATTCAAAAAGAGATGGCGCTTCTCCTGGTGATAAAACTGATCATTCACTTTATGACTGCTTTTGGGACATAGCTGTGTGCAAATTGGCCACTGCATCCACCTAGGAAACTTTAATTTACTGTAACTTACTTTATAGTAAATCTGGTGAAGTGCTTTGAGACGTCTTGATGACACGAAGGGCTACATCAAATATGAGGATGATTACTTTAATTATAATTCTATCCCATCAGCACTGCCACTGCCTACTGCAGGTTTTCAGAATTTCCCATTAGTACTGGCAGCTATTTAAAAAATTCAATCCTAATTGAAATAATAATAATAATCCTTGCATTTGATATAGCCTCTTATCATCACGTTTTCGCGATTCATAAAATATACTGTAAAGTTAATTGACTGTATATTTTGTGGAAGAAATGCAGCAGCCAATTGAGCACAGAGGTGTCCCACAAACTATAGTGGATTGAGTGAAGGAATTTTTCTTTGAAGAATTATTTTACCTCCTGAAATGCAATCCGCCAATCAACTAATCTGTGAACCTCTTTGAGACGTCTAGAAGACATGAAAAGCACTACACCAAATGCAAGGATTATTATTATTATAGTGGCCTCTGGCAGCTGTTATTGGCAGAAATGAGAACTTTTGTTGCCTTACCAGAGGTCTTAAGTTCAGTTCCCAGTTCCAACTATCAGGACTCCCACCTAAAAGTCTCAAATAGGAAAGCTAGCCACAAGATTTAATTCAAACAATTGCAATTGGCTTTTTTTTGTTTCTGGAACAGAATATTTGATAAATTCTGAACAGAATATACATTATGCAATTGGCTGCCCTGTTTTGCACACAAAATACAGCCAATCCACTTTGCAATATATTCTGTGAAGCGTTTTGACATCCTCAATGAAGTGTTAAGGTGCTATATAAAATGTAAAAAATATTATTATCACTTCAGTCCATATAGTACAACTGTATGGTATTATTTGAAAATACAACAACAACAAATTATATTTATATAGCATCCCAAGAGCTAGAGTCCAGGGGTTCACCCCTCGACTTATTTTCCCCAAACACTCATAAAACGTCCAGAATATGATTTACTTAGCAACAGGTTTTCAAATAACATTCATTCAATGACAATGGATTTAAATATTATCCTTTCATCTGCACATACTTGAATTTAAGCTTAAATAAAATACACTTGAGATGCTATTAACCCACAATTCTGTTTGCACTACTATCTTCGTTTTTACTTAAATAATCTTTTAAGTCGTGTGGTATTTAGTGAGTGGCATAAATGTAATTCATTGCCATTCACAAATAAATTCATATCAAGAATTTGCTTGATTGTCTACCTCCAAAATATACAGTCAAATTTACTTTACAGCATATTTTGAGATGTCTCAAAGACGTGATAAGGCGTTATACCAAATGCAAGAATTATTACTATTACCAGTTGGGGTCAGGATTCGATGTGGTTAAATGTACAGCATTTCAGATGAATGCAATAGTTATTAAACCTGTACCCTATCATCATTAACAGCAGCGGTAATGCAGAGACCATAAACCTTCTGATGTGGTGTAAAAACAAATGATAAGATGACATGAGCAAAAGTACCGCCTGCGCCGCTAGAAAGTGCCATTTGCATTCGCTTGTGGTACAACTCGTGGCTTCCCCTGTGGGGAAGAGATGGACTCAGACAGTGCGGATGACTTTCAATTTCACACCTGTAAAATACGATTCTTACAAAGGAAAAACACTTTGGGATGCCCTGACCCACTGCATTCTTTCACAAAGAGGGAGGAAAATAACTCATATCCAGGTGGTGCAACTATTGCTGACTACACTATGTGCCACTGTCAATGCACAGTCTCGATAGCAATTGAGTGAGTTGAGCACTGAAGCGGGTGTTATTGTTTATTGGAAATAACTGGCTACAAACTGCCCCTCCTGAACAAAATGCTCGTCTTGCAATCAAAATGAAACCCCTTTCCCTGTGTTAATCGAATGGGTACCACATCCGTGTGTAGCCTCGGGTGTAGATGTGCAGTTGCAGTGCTGTGTGTGCCTGGTATTTACAGGCAGCTTAAGGTCTCTTTTGTTGATGGGATGCAGATCAGAGCTGCTGTGTGTTCTCCCCCACCCTCACCACTCACACTGTAGCTGAAGGCAGGATTTTTCCATTAGCTGGGATTGCCCACTCTATTCCCTGGGCTACAATTATTGATTGCACTTTCACTTACTCACTCACTCACTCTCTCTCTCTCTCTCTCCTCCAGCACTGCAGTGGTCAGGCTGCAACGTCAAAAAAAAAAAGAAACACCCACCCCACTGGTTAGAGGCTTCCTCCCTCACTTGCAGCCGTCTCACTGTGGGACACGGGCAAACAAGAAGAAAGCAGTCACCAGCCAGAATATAACCAGCTGTGCTTTTAAGACATGCCTGGAATTTCCCTGCAGCAGCCACTTCCCAGCCAGTGAAGTAAGTGAATGTGTTTTCTTTGCTTTGCTTTGCTTGATGATCAGTGCATTGCACTCAGTCCTCCAGCTGACGACGTGTGTAGAGATTCTGCACTCTGTAACGACTGTGTTATTTGCACCGTGTCTCCCTGCTTGTCTGCTGATGTGAAGACCCGAGCCTGATTTTTTTTTTTGGGGGGGGGGGTGGGGGGGGGAAATAAGCATTAAGTTTGGGAGATTCCGTGCTTGTATTTTGTGGCTCTCAGCAGAAATCCCAGATCTTCCCTCTGATTAAGCTTTGGGAATCGGTAACGCCGTTAAGGCAGTTGTGCTAAGTTGGTTGCACTCCATCTCACTCCAATGAGGAGGGCTGGGTCGTGAATTTAACACGGGGTGGGGGGGGTGCACACACAGGGATGGATGTGCTGAACTTGGAGCACACTGGGTGCAGGAGGGTGAGGGATGCAGCTTTCCTGTGTGCTGCTGAGCTGAGCTGTCCCTTTTGCAGCGTTGACCACGTCGATTTCGGTGGTGGATCCAAACCATTTCCCCCGTCACTACTCACGGGTCGTGTGGATAGATACACTTATGCATTTTTAAAAAAAAAAATATGCATTGCTTAATCCTTTCAGGTACTCCCACTCCCCTCCTCCCTCCTCCCTCCCGCGGTATTGGAACATCGCAGCGTTCACACCACAACCGCCGCTCTCTGCTGTAGCGAAAAGGTGTGTTTATTGGGGGCATTTATTTCTTCCACTCTCTCGCGTGTTGGCAGTGAGGTTTTGCAGCCCTTTTGCTATCTCACGCCGAGGGGCTCCGGGGGTCGGTGCTGAAGTTAGCTCAAGCCTCGAAGGGTTAAACGCCGAGACGCAGGTGTGTGTGTGTGTGTGTGTGTGTGTGTGTGTGTGCAAACGCGAGTGACAGGTTTTGCTGTTCTTGTGGTTGATTTCACGGACTGTCGCTTTAACGGCGATCGGATTAACCGATTCGTAATTGCAACAGATCAGTGGCTGTCACCAGATCTCTCGGGGCTGTGTTATTGTGGAGGCGGTGGAGGAGCCTTTGTGCGGTGAGAGATTACCAGTGGCACAGCTCTCGCTCTCTCTCTCTCTCTCTCGAGTACACACACACACACACAGGGACACGTCGCGCACACTCACAGATTCCGCTTGTTCCTGCGTTAAAAAAAAGGGGGGAACTCGCTTCACTGCGGAGACTGAGTCATCCTGAGGAGCTGTCATCTCAGCAGTGAGTGAGTGAGGGAGGGAGGGAGGGAGGGAGGAGGAGGGAGGGAGGGAGGGAGGAGGAGGAGAGGAGGGAGGGAGGAGGGAGGGAGCAGATGCTCAATGTCAGGACCAATGTGTCACCGCAAATGGTATTAGAAAAGTTGCCTTTGGCTTTGATTCATCGATTAGACCCTCAGACCCCCCGAGAACCCACAGGGAGAGGAGTCTGTTCTGTCTATTTCTTGGGTAGGATACAGTCTTCTGCTGTAACTTACAAAAGTAAGTACCGAACATCACTTATGGACACAATTATTAGCTATTAAATACAAGTCACTTTTCACTTACCGCTGCGGCACCAAGTTAGCGGTATAAGAAGGAAGGTCGTGTTTTATTTCCACGGTTAACAGACATTTACTTACAACATTACCTTGAAGAAGGCTTCAGTGAAAATTTATTTCCAGAGGATTTGTTAATTTTCTTAAAAAAAAGCTAACGTTTTAATGATTAAAATAAATATATGCTGTATTAAAAGTAACATTTAAAGGCACTGTATGTGTATTTTAAACTTAGATGACAGATTCACAGTTGTACCAGTGTTGGGATTTGCTTTGAAGCATTTTGATTTGTTTTTAGGTTAAAACTCTTTTTTTACACCCTCAATGTGTATTTTAATGTTTTACTATCTAATGCGATAGTTGTTATTATGTATTTCTAAAATTTCCATGTGTAGATGGGTTGTATGGAATTCTCGGTTTGGTGATGGGTTTCCCCATGTATCAGACACCGAGCTGACCAAAAAATCCTGCTTCGCATTTTACTATCAATTTGGACCGCAATCCTCAATCGAAGAATTTTGCATTTGCTTCTCAAGCAAATGGGATCTAAAAATAAATAACCACTGTTGAAATCGTCACTTAAAAATTCAAATATCTGCTATGTAAACTGGAGTGATTGAGCATGGATGCTTTCATGATGCCAGACTGTCAAACTTGTCAAACTCCATCCATCTGTCTGAAAGCATCTTAGCACATTTACAGTCGAAATGTTCCACACGGTCTAGTTGAATATCTCCAGGAGTTAAAATTAAAAAATACAACCTGGATTCTCTTAAATGCTGTCTTTCTCATTATTATTCAATAAATAAAGCTAATCTTTCTTTACAATACTTTAATACTGAGAAGTAACTTTTAAAAAAACACACTTGCTAATCTAAGTCAGTGAAGTTTTCTTCATGTAAAAGCTGTCAGGTTAATTATCTGTGTGTATAAATAGTACAGTCTACAAGAAGTTTCAGTTACAGTGGGGATTATATTCATGTGGTCTTTTAGGTGTGACAGGTGCTAAATCAGTGTTAAAGTAAACTAAAGGTAAATAAACTATGAAATGAATGTTTCATTCTGCCTTTTAGATCAATGTAAAATATAGAGCAGCCCTTTAACACTGTGATGTATGATGAAATGTGTATTCCCGTAGCTTCATCATTAACAGAAAAAATATACGGGACAACCATTTTTATAATTCACCCTTCACTGTGACATTCTTTTTCTATGGCTTTCAAAGTCTTCTACAGGGAGGCTACTTTTTACAGAATAATGGAACGATAAGAAGACATGTTAAGGCATAATGATAAATGAGAGCTTTAGATAATGTCATGACACCAAAGAGTTTTATATATAATACTACTGAGACCATGAGACAGTGCCATTAACTCCCTCCCATTATTGGAGCCATCAATGCCCACCAACTCACCCATATTCAGAGGGCTTCAGAGTGGTTTTGCCCACAAATGTACGGTCAATTCGCTTTACAGTCTATTCTGTGAAGTGCTTTGAGATGTTGAGAAGACGTGAAAAGCGCTATATAAAATGTAAGGATTATTATTATTATTATTATCTTTGTGACTTAACATCCAGGAATGGGTGTTACAAGGTTTAGAATGTAAACAAATGCTGGTGACTTACTAGAAGGCACTTTTTTTAGTGAGTTGTGAAACCTACTCCATATCTTGTGGTGTCCTATTTTTTACAAGTCAGTGAATGTAGAATTCATAAATATAATTACAGTTAGAGTTTACATTTTATGCTGATATAATTTATAACACCATGAGAGCACAAATCATTTTGTTGAGCAGATTGTCTTTGAATCTAGCACAGGTATCACAATTATTTAGTGCGCTCAATGAATCTTTCCCTTCTATGGTACAGACTCTTGGGAGCTCCCTCAGTGGTATTGCATAGAGGAGATACACATACCAATTGAGGGAGATTGATGCTTTGTATGCTCTACCATGTCATTTACTTCAAACACATTGGCATAAGAGGGGAAAAAAATCAACAGGGCAGGTGAGACTAGCTATTAGTACATTTTACTATATTCGTAATCCTTAAAAATTGAAGTGTGAGAACACTGAAGTGCCCTGGGCTCCAATGCATTGATGTCCAGAGATTCCACATATGGCTAATTCCTGGGTCAGTTGGTTGGCAAGAACATGAAAGACATCTCTTCCAAAAGGAGGGACAAGTAATTGACTCACTCCTATCTCTAACTACTTCTTAGTTGCCAGTTCAAGAACAGGTTAGCAGAGGTTGGGGCATCTTTGCAGCTCACAGTCCATTAACCAATGGTGCAAAAGAGTAGGAGAAAATGGCATACAAAATGGGGAAATGTTTTACTTGCCAGAATATTAGATTCCTGTCCCTGACGTAACCAGAAAAGGGACTGAATGACTTTTACAATGAAAAATACACTTTTTAAATGCAACAGAAGAATGTGTACAGATGTCATTGTTCACAGACTTCCATCATTCATTCCAGACACAGTTCAGAATGGCAAAAGTCCCCCACATTAAATTATTACACTGCGGGAATTTATGTTGTGATTCACAACAGATGGAAAAGTTCTGCGTTTATACAAGACTAACGTCCTTCAGTCCTTCCCATTTATATGAGTGTTTCCTTACAATTTTTGCAGGGCTCATTTCATTTAGACAATGGGCTCTTGATTGAGGACCTGACTTCCACTTTAAATTAATGCCATTTAGATATTACTTTGATTTGATCTCCAGATTTGACCCTGTAAAACAGAGTGTGATCTTGGGAACAAACTGCGGAGTGTGACTCAGTACTGAGTGCAGTCAGACAGACACTGCGGCAATGCTCTGTCTCTCCAGCGTCTGATGTCAAGTGCCCTCCATGCATGAGTAGGACTTCCAGACCCATTGATATCAACCTCAATCTAATTAAAACATAACAAATGTCATACTATGCGTTTCTAAATTATTTATTTTCTTTTCCTTTCTCAGAAGTCCCTGTGCACCATTTTTGTTTCAAGGGGCCTGGCCAGGTGCCTGGTACGTAGGCATCTGTTAATGCTGCTCGTGATCCACATGGAGTAAGGCATTTATATAATGAGCAACTGAGTCCCCTCCTCTCCTACCACCCACCCACCCACTGCTCCTTAGGACACATCCAGTCTGTGAACTCAAATCATGAGGAATTTCCTGGGATGAACCCATATTTACCAAAATCTACATAATAATTGAAGTTGTATACAAGCTGTTGGCTCCTGGTAGCGGAGCACAGTGATGTCGGCTTAGAGCTACAATTGCTCATGGTAACAAGGACATGTTCTCATAAATTGCATTGTTGGAGGTTCCATGCACTGAGGTGCTATTTTCCTGTTCTAATGAAAGTAATAGATCCCCTAACACTGTTCAAAATGAGAAGGGAGTTTCTTCCAGTGTCCTGGCCAATAGTTCTCCAAATTAATTGATACCTTATGGCAGCTCGTGGGACTA